GCGGCATTCCGTACTAGGGATTCAAGGAGAGCTCCAGCGGCTCCATGGCTGGAAAGGGGCCGCCCTCATGCGACTGTCGTTATGTCTGAGCGGATAGCTCCTCGCGGAGACTTTCCTAGATCGGATGCTGGAGGAGCTCTCGGCCGTCCTTTTAACTGGTCCGGAGACTCGAATGGAATTTTTGATGGAAAACGTGCCTTTCGAAACATGGGCAACACCCCTGGGGAGCCTGGAAATATTTTGACCAGAAGAGCTCACAGAGAATGAGATTTCCCATGGAATGTCTACGTTGGTTTCCTCCTATTCGAGGCGATCCTCGGAATTCCCTTGCTCTTGGCGCTCCTTGCACCAGACAAAAGGCAGCCACGTGACCATTACTCGCGCAGAGACCTCTCCGAAAGTAACATCATGGAAACTGCTCTCACCCAGCAGATCAGTCGTTTCCCAAAAAACCTTTCCGCCGACTTGCGAAGTAAAGCACTTGAGGGACCACAGGAGTCCCCGACGGAAGAGAGCCAATTCGATCGGTCTCGAAGGGTTGACTCTGATTTCGACAGAATTCTTCCTCGTGCCCTCCACCCAATACTGCACTTCCCACTGGCGGCCCCTGATCAAGCTCAGATCGACGGTAGCACGGAGATCTCCGTGTCTGACGCTCAGGGAAAAACTCCCGCTGCTGTCGACGTTCGTCACACAGAGCGCTTCGATGCGCAATCTGCCCACGAGGTCTTCGAATACCTGTCGCTCGATATCTTTCATGAGCTCCTCGTTGAAACGATGAACGTATGGCTCAGACCTGCGCTCGGCATCGTAGGCTTCATACGAACGACGCATCTGCTTCAAAAGCGTCAGATTCGCATTGAGTATCTCCCGGAGTGACGGTTCCGTAGTTTCGACAGTCGAGCGCTTGAGGCGCGGAATCAGCGTGTCGAAGACCGCTCTCGTGACGCTGGTATTCAAGCCCAGTCGGCATTGGTCCCGATTGATATTTCCGGTATTGACCTTTTTCTCCGCGGTTTCGCTGAACGTCGTCGCACTGAAAAATTTTCCAAGAGAAAACATCTAGATTTTGCTCGTTGTGGTTTCTGTTTCCACCATGGGACGCTCATTTCGTTGTTATATCCCTCGAATTTCCTGATGCTCCGCGTGTCTCTGTCCGGTATGTCAATTAACTCCTCGATGCCGTCGAAGTGCAATTCTCTCGCTCCATCGTTCGCCCCGAGGCTCCTTGGGTGGATATAATCATGAATCGATAATAATAATCATCATTGAACGACAACGTCAGAATCAGCGCCGGACCGTCAGTCAGAAGGCGAAGCGATGACTGCGCTCATATCGGCTCCATTAGAGTCGAGCGCATAAATCGGACTCTCCGCCATTAAAATTCTCCCCACGAACCCTTGCTTAAGCGAGAGCGACCGGGGGTCCGCTCGCATATTTGGATACGACCCACTTCGCCTCCCTACCAATTAGCATAAAATCATTTTGCCATCACGCAGTGGTCTACGCCAAGCACCCGGATAAATAAGGTGTATACTCGAAAGCGCTGCGAAAACCCGTCTCTTCATTAATTTATTCGATTACCGTGAAAATCTTGTATGTCGCGCGAAAACCGAGAACTCGTAATGCCCCCCGAGGTACCGTTGACTTTCGGCCATCGTTCCCCAGACTCGGTAAGCCCATTAAGATGCTGCGTGGCGAGCTCTGCGTCGGAGGCATTGTATGCAGACGGTGGATTCGATCAAGATCGAGTTCGGACGGAACGCGTGCACGTGACGTGCATGCGACCGGGCAGAGAATGATAGACTGGAGTTGGTAGCGATCAGCTCTCGATGCACTCTCCGAAATATGTTTCGGGGAGACGAACTCCATGCTGTATGCACGGACCGACATCGACATACATAGGTACGTATTTGAGTCGTACTACATACGGAGGAGCAGTCTATCGAGACGTCCAACTGTTGCTTTTGCGGTCGTCGGATCGGACCGAGTTCGGGGCCGGACGAACGACAGAGAGTATCCGGGTCACGGGTGAGCGCTCCAACTGCAGAAGCCGGCGATTTGCTGATAGGGCACCGAAACAACAACCGTGTCACGGCGAGATAAATACGCGGCACGCTCGACCTTCCCAACGTATATTTTGCTTAATTGTCACGCATCTCGAGATTCCCTCGGAGGATTGTTTTTCCCTCGCGAGGTCCCTGCTGACGTCTGCGCCTCTTTCCATGATGCATATGCTGCCGTGCGGTCACATTCCCCGCTCGTACGTACTAGGAGACGGATTTCATTCGGGGAACGAGAGGAACACTCGTCCCGAACAACGGCGAGCTCTCAGACCACGGTCGAACCATTTTTGAAGCCTGTAAGCCTTTTGCGAATTTCCGCGCAAACGAGAAGAAGCTTGAACGCATGAGTGAACTCTCCCTCGGTCACGCGGGAAGTGATACGAAGCAGGTACAGGGAATCGGAGCAGGATTTATACACAGCGGTGTGCATACATCATTACGGTCCTCTATGCAGTCCATTTTCCCCACGACGATGCAGGAGTAACAGCAGCAGCAGCCTCTATGCGGCACCGGCGGGCGCTGTTGCGGCGGCAGCAGCGCGTACACGTGTCTCAGACATCTGTTCCTGACAGACTTATCACGGAGCAGACGCGAGACCAACGGAAGGACAGGGAACGATTCAACCACAAGCGAATCCGTCTTACCGCCGCTGTCGGCGACTGTGCTCTAGCGACGCGTCAGCGCTCGATCCGGCGAACGACAGCGGATACTCGAATCGTGAATGGTGAGAAAACCATGTTGCTTTATTCTGCGTCCAAGACTCCGAAAAGCAGGTCACGATTATTTCCGCATCGTGCAATAAAGTTCTCTCAGCCCCGAATCTCCAACGCGTACACTGGAATGCGGAGTCGCTTAATTTTCTCGAACGTGCGGGGGCGAAACATTAAGGAAGTCTCGGACTCGCTGCGCCGCCGCGGCGCTCATCCAAGACTATGAAGTTCCCCCCAGTCGAACGCGAATATATGTACGCCGAACTCACCATCCATTAGGCTGCCCATCATTTACTAACTCGTGTTCATAGCCGGCGAGGGAGACGTGCACACACGATCTCCCTGTGGGCTGGAAGAGTTCATTGAAAAAGGTCGAGGATTCACCGTTTCATTGTGAACGTTTATTCATTGAGATTGAGACGCTCTTCTGCGCGACCGTCTATGCTTGGGTCTCTATCTCCAGCCTCGAGTCACAAATTCTGCATTCCTTCGTACGGAACGTAATACGCAGCGATGTTCCTCCTGCCGTGAGTGCTCTCGGGATCTCTCCACTTGAACCAACAGAGGCATAGGAAGCACGACAAGATGCACAAATTGAGGAATAGTTGGACCGCGTGATGGGTGATTCGACGCTGCTGGTCGAGCTCGAACACGCGGTCGTCCAGTATGAAGTGTCTTCCCATCGCTTTATTGACGACGTTTGGGGCTGTGTCCACTGGATGCTCGTGGTAAACGACGCCTGCCCTCTCCGCGGTGTCGGGACTAGTTATGTTTTTCACATATTTGACGGCGAAGTAAAATATCCGGAAGGGTTGATAGTAGAACGGGGTGGATGTTTCATTTTCAGCTGTCACCGTATCGTAGTCGTCCTGATAGTTCGTGTTCCACGCGGAGCCATCCACGGGGCTCGCTGACAAGGGTACCGTCAAGACCCAGAGCGTGTAGAAACCCAGGAGAATTCTTGTCGAACAGCCCATGATATTCGGGCTTCGTTGTTCGATCTCGGATACGAAACCTCGTATTTTTCTCCTCGGTTCATGGCTCGGAAACGATGGCGCCCCTCTGTCCATGATGTTCCGATACGCGTTCGCGAGTCGGCTATCAACATAGAGAACTGAAATCCTCCCTGGGGCGAAATTGGTCGATGCATTTGAGACTCGCTGAGAGATTACTGGTCGGCTTCAATTAAGTCAGGAATCATATTCGAAGGGACATCGCGCGTTCCCTCCCCCACGCGGCTCATGAGCCCTCTCGCTGTCGGCGTCCCGAGCCAACTTTTCCAATTAGGTTTCAGGATCTGACTCGTCGAGCGAACGATGAAGTTCGCGGAAAGTTTGACAATTTCGATGGCCCTCGAGCGAGATATCGCAAAGTGAACAACTGGCGGAAAATTCTGAGTCTCCCCCATTCAATCTGTCCGCGAGCACCGCAAGCTCCTTACGCTTCGAACGAACGTTTCTCCTCCTTCCTCCTATCCCGGCGATCGAGCAAACGTTCTCCTATAATTTAAAGTTTTATCGATCTCCTCCCAGTACGGGTGCGGTGTCTCTGGTTAGCCCGTTGGAGAAATAATCGATGTTTTTGACTAGCTGCATTTTAAGTAGCTGGGACCTTTCTCTCCCAAAAACAAGAGCTCTCCCGAATTTGCCCCGAAACGTTTTATTCGTCGTTCCCGGAGAATGTTATTTCCAACAGCTCCGCGGCGTATCTGCTCATTCACAAAAGCGGTTGAACAACATGCTGGTCCTCGTTTCTGTTTTGCCTACGCCTCTTCTGCCTCCTTACCACGCATTCGGTGAAGTCTGCGTGATCCCCTCAGATACTCACTTATGTAAGGGTCACCTGACCCTGATCTCGATATTTTCGGTTTGCTTCCCGCTAACCCCCCCCCCGCTTTACGCTAGGCGCCTGGATCTTGATCTTCAGAGATACCCAATAAGAATAAGCGACGCAGATCATCCCCTCGAACGGTCGATCGAAAAGCATCGTTCCGAGAGGAATGTTGGGAGATCCGTGCTGCGGTGCTTCGTCAGCATCGATAACAAGTGCGGAGAATGAAGTCTGATAGATGATATCAGATGTGAGCGGCGGATGGCAAGGAGCACCGAGCAAGTAATCTCACAGCAAATCCTGGCAGAGAATAATCTGTCTCGATTGGGAAAAGAAACTCATCGAGCCGCATTGCAGGCTGATCCAAGAGGATGTGGGTCTCCGTCGCCGGCAATCAATAGATCGCGTTTTTCATATTTGCTTTGACTTCTGCGATGGCCTCTCGGAGTTTGACGTCGTACTTGAGAATCGTCATGTCGTTGGTCTTGTATTTCATGAAATTACTCGCGCATTCCTCTTCCATTTTCGAGGGGCACGAGTCCCTGTAGTGATGCACCAGCGCGATATCCGGGCCGACGATCGCGCACTTTCTCGTGCCAGCTCTGAGCGGTATCAATGTGTAATGGTTGAAGACTGCCAGAGATCCGTCGCTCGTGAAAAAGCTTTTTACCGCGAACCCGGGTCGAGATAGGTTCGCCGAACGCTCCGTCTGCTGCAGTATATCGATGGGGGTGCCGAGCTTTCGGAAGAAATAGGCGTTCGTAAAAGCGAACGACGCGTATTTGTCGATTGCCTCGGCTTCAGTTTCGCGAATTCGCTCCATAACTCCCGCCCAGGTACCGGTGTCCGGGTCTCTGGGGACGATGATTTCGTCGATATCGAGAAGCACAACGTATTCATATTTGTTTCGCATTCTGTAGTAGCAGTCGTTGTAGGGAACGAGTTCGAGACGTCGCTTTTCCCACGTCCTCGTTTTGAGAAAATTCTCCAGGAATCCGAGTCCCTGGGGGTACTCCCGCGGAGGAAGCGTGAGTTTCCGCACAGCGACCTGGCGGAATTTTTCGTAGAACTTCAGCGTTCTCCTCGTTTTATGATGCACATGGTAGAGGTAGAACTGAATGTGTTCAGCGCCCAATAGATGAATCATTTCAATCCATTGTATAAGCGAGGCGCTGATGTCCTTCGGGTAGAAGAGTCCTTTGACACAGACTGCGAAGCCTTTTTTGTGCGTCGAGCCCTCGGGGGAAGGCGGTTTTCGGACTCGGAGATTGTTCGAGGGGCACGCGCAGACGTCTGTCACGATCGAAACGGACGATGGCGACTCCTTGGTCGCATCACCGAGATTGCATGATAGAATGTGTGGCGTCGGTATATCCCTGTGGCTGCCGTTATCCCAGGAATCCAACCATATTCTGTCAACCGAGGCCCTCGCAGATCTCTGCGCGCCTGATGGATAGTTGACTATGCAGAAGAATTTAATCTGCGTGGCGCTTTTCCGCAGCAAGGCTGGAAGAGCAACATCGGATCGTTATGCACGCAGACGGCGAAAATTGTCAGCGGGCGTGCCATGTTCCGATAATCCGATTCCGGAGTGGCGAGTATGATTCTTTCAACGAGATCATGAATTTAGTGTCTTCAGCGTTCATCCACTCTTTTACTCACCGATCGTTCGTATAGTGTGCTGGCGGACACCGGAATCATCTTTTATACGGTCGTCGAGATGTGCGGAGTAAATTTCGATATCTACTCCGGGTATGATTGACCATTCTGCCGTGAATGCAGGTATGGAACAGCTGAGCTCCTTCACGGGTTCCGCGCAGTCTATCGTCGGCTCCTTTGGGAGATTAAGCCGGGAGTATTCAGCGTTCCGATTCAAGACGCCGACCGTGCACAGGCCGGTGAGTGTGAGCACGCAAAACAGCTGCAGAAATCTCCTGGAATGTGAACCCCAGAGTTTAGGGAATCGGCGAATTCATCTCGAATCGTTGAGTAGGAGAATTTGACCCGATCCCGAGTTTGGAGACGCCTCAGAGTTGAACCGGAGCTTTATGTATGTACACATTGGAATTCCGGTTCTGATGGCCCCGGGAGCATTCTCCGACGTTCTAATCTTTTTTATTTAGGCTCGGCCCCGCAACCAGAGCGCCACGTTTCAGCGTGAAGACGTGTCTCCCGTGGGGGACTTCAAGACAGCAGATTCACCCGGCCTGAATCAACAACGAGCTTTCGGCTCAGATCGGACTTTCCTTACGAAAGCGCTTACGGAAGCCTTGACGGATACTCTGAGGGGGGTCGTTTGGGGAAGTCTCATGGGAACTTCCCCAGAGACCCTTCGGGTACGAGGAGAGCGATCCATCGTACGAGCGGCGCCTCTACGGCGTCTGCCAACACAGATGCGCACACCGCCTCATCACGTCGTCGATGTCTCCGTGGAGGTCGTCGCAAATCGAGTCACAATCTCCCTGAAGAGTGTCCTCGAGTACCTCGCGAGCTGCGTTTGGAGCGCCAATGATAAGCATTGTAGTTCCCTGCGGTTTCAATATGGTCGGAGACCTTCGGAGAATCGGGAGAGCCCTTCAGTTTGAAGCCCGCGTCCGATGGCGCTGTGATGTCTCAATGGACTCGCCAAACTCGGATTCGAGCGCCAGAGACTCCGAAATGATGTATTGTGCGCCGTCATATCCTTATTCGGCGAGATATGAATGACCGAAACCCCTCGAACTTAATGCCGGTCCCGCGCTCCGTTCTCCCCCGCCTAATCATGCATCATTTATGACTCATGACCGTGAGCTCCATGGATTGAGACTGTCTCCAAGGGGGATGAGTTCTTCTCTCTTCAATTTCTCCTCTAAGCATCAGTTAATTCAATGACGACAGAAGGATGGCTGTATACTGAGGAGGGAGTTTTCCTCCGGTTTCGTTGACCCATGCGAGGTCGACAAAGGTTGAAGATCTCGCTCCCAGAGCTATCCCACAGCTGACGTTTTCTGGCCCTGGCCGCCATGCCGGCATTGCAATTGGAAAACCTGGCCCGCATTCGTGAATCGCTTCCCTCCGGATCATGAATGTTGCTATAATACGTCTTGATGGGTATTTCGATCGCTCTCCTGAGGGGCACCAAGAGAGATGGCTGGCGAATAACCAGAAGACCGAGTCAATAGCCCAAGGAAGCCACGAGTCCCGTTGCCGGGATTCGAACTTGGCGCCCCAACTCACTCTTTCTCAAAGCTGCTCTTGAAAAAAACAGATCCAAAACAAAGTTGCACTCGGTTCAAGCTCTCGGGGGCATTTTCCTCACTGACAGTGCGCGCACACGAATCTGTATTCGTCAATCATGCGACTGTGTCAAGGAGAAGGTCCTCATTCAGACTGAAGGTGAGTTCAGAACTCCGCATCGCTGAGCGGACTCCGGAAACCCACGCAAAATCTCACAGGTTCCTCTGTCTGAGGCGGTTGAGGGGGGCACAACATGGGTTTACACAGATCACTGAACTGGCACTATCATGCAGAATGTCGATCAATAATGACATTGAATTCAATTATGATTTAGGAGCTCCGGTAACGGTGATCGCCTCCAGTAAGTCCTAATATGGAGAAACCCACAGTGATGTCGTGCACTCGTTGCGGCTACCCAGGACACTTCACTTACCAGTGCCGGAATTTCCTTAAGGTAAGAGGGAACATTGTTAGGGTTTCACATCATCATCACTCGCTCTGAGCATCACATATTTCCATGATCGCGATTTCGGTTCCGAGCGACCAGCCATCTTGGGAGAGGGATTCCCTGAGTGGCGCCGTGGGAAACTTTGACCCCGAATAGCAACCCTCGGATATTCTGAAACTCACTCTCCTGCGCGGATTCTCATTCTGGGAATGTGCCGTGCTTTCTCGTTCCATCTCACGTCAAATACTCTCGCCGTCGTCTATATCGATTCACCGAACACGAGGAATCGGGACACCGGTCGGATTTGATTTGTCAGAACAGACTGCCAGTGCCGCCTCTCCTTCGAAACTCATCGTGGATAAGCGTTAAGAAAGTCCAACCTAAGTGAAAACCCGAGCACTATTTTTTCCCTCTGAGGGCGTGCAACGCTTGGTGTTTTTTTTCGCTCTCTTTTGCCCGCAACCTAGCAATTGACGTGGAACGTGGGCGGGATTCGCGTGCGGTGCTCAATCCCATGGCTAACTATCCCTTCGCGTTGACCGCGCACACAAACGCTTCTCGAAACCATTCGTGGACAGGTGAAAAACACCTCACTGACAATTGATGGCCCTTGCTTTCCGCCGTGATTGTCGAATGCCTTTTATGTGTCTTGATGATTACAGGTAAATCCAGTAGACCCGTCGAGTTCTGTCTGCGTGGACGTTTCTAGCACGAGCTCCGATTCCTCGGAGGATTCGATCAGCGAAGCAGGTGAAGATGAGATCCGGAGATCCGACACGACATCGAGCACTCGTAAGGTGGAGATGAAAAGGTCCTCCAGTAGCAAGAAGTCTAAGAAGCACAAAAAGAAGAAAGAAAGAAAGAGAAGAAAGACAAAAAATACGAAGGCACACCGAGATGAATCCGATAAAAAGAGGAGGTCGAAACACAAGAAGCACAAGAAAAAGAAGAAGCACAAGTCCGAGAAGGATTGAGGGAGAGAAGCCGCTTCCCCTCATCGGGCCCCTCATTGATCTCGCACATCAACATCATATTGAATGCATGCCAAATATAGGATCATTATTTTTGGAGCTTTGATGTATCATATCATTATTACGACCGGGGAGAATCATATCATTGAGCCTCATCTCGACCCTTCGAGATTTTGAATAATAAAGGAGTGGACGGGAATATTCGTGATTATTCAGCGCGAAATAGGAGCTTTGGGGACGGGGAGAGACGTTACATACTGGACGAGGAACTGCTCTCGGGCTCTACGTGAATGACTTGCCTGTTTCCTTGCCGGTATCCGTGCCATTAGCGATTCGAGGAGTGACCGAGGTCTCCTATCTAGATGAATTAAGAAAACACAGCCTCTCGAGGAGATGTGAGAACATTTTATTCCTCACGTAATTGATTCAATTCAAAGTGTTGAGAAATAGAACGAAAAGTGATCCGAGAAAGCACGGCCTAACTATATTCCCGTTTGCTTGGGTTCCAATTTTCCCACGGCTTCTCAAATTCGTCGATGGAAATCAGCTTGAAGACGGCACTTTGGTCGAAGACATCTTCCCATCTGTCATTAGCGAACGAGCGCGTTTCTATGCGCGGCGTGCGTCACAGGTTTCTCAAGCATCATGCCATGCTCGTAAGCATCCTGATAATAATCATGATCACCAGCCTTGCTATAATTGTTATTATCATCATCGTGACCGTGTTTTCGTCTAGATTTACGTCCTTCGTTATATATGCTCTGCTTGATGTTCACATCATGTTTCAAGGTCAATATCCTCTTACATCATGTGTTGAATCAGTTGTTGTCGTCTGGTATCATATCGCAGCTCTGAAAGCCAGGCTCGAGGAGCCGTCCGTGGACTTCGCGCATGAGTCCCTCGGTTCGGCCCCATCTGCCTAAGCTGATTCTCAACGAAGAGTTCTATCACATGACCGAAGGTTCCTTCATTATGTACAATGGTATACATATATTGGCTTTGCGCTCGTGCGGGCTTAGCCTGTTGTCGAGAAAAACGTCTAGGGCTGTCAGTCTCCTCAGCCGTTCATGATTTGCTTGGCGTCCATTTCTTCAAGCACATGTCCACATTTTCCAATCATTTCCGTCGGTGATCTTCAACATGTGTCGCGGAAGAAGTCCACTGATACACATTGTGACTCGGCGTCCCATTTCTAGTATGCCGTGACCATAACTATTCCTCTCCGAAATCAGTCAGTGTTCGATTACAAACATTCGATACTAAGTCTCGGCAACGATAACCGAGCAATTCGAACAACACAAATGACTGCTGTGAACGTGACATCGGATGCCTTATTCATGACGGCTACCGCTAAGCATGGCAGCGCAACGACATCTGACTTCGGTTTCTGATCGAGGAGAAACACTAATGTAAGCCGCTTTCTCCCGGATCACATCTAGATCAGAGTCCCGTCCCGATTCGACCACGCGATCGGCCTAATTCGAGTCGACATACAGCATGCGAGATACGACACCTGTACGTTCTCCCTGCGGAATTTGGCTTCAGGTGGCGAGGAGGGGCGAAGGCGTCGTTCGTTGGTACTACGGCATGCGTTAGCGATTCTGACAGCGTTTCGTTTGTAGGTTGGTAAGTTCCTTTATGCAATAAATAATATTGGAAATATTCCCAGCCGAATTCTGAATCCGGCCGCGCGAAGACAGAAATAGAGCCGCTTATTTACAATCGAGTCGCCCTCGATTTCTCTCCGAAGGAAAGAACAATAAAGTGTGGCAAATCTATGTACAGAACTGGTTCGGGACATCGACAATCAATTGAATCGATTGCGGAAACGACCAGGAATGTGAAGGAAGAGGCGATCGAAAGAGTTACCCGGAAAGAATTCACCCCAGTATCGAAGAATATCCGGCAGGACCATTCCGAGAAGAGGAAATTCGAAAGGAAAAACTCAAATTTCCCCAGTTTCGACACGGCCCGATGTGAAGATAATCGATATTCGCAGAAGGTAGACTCGGCTAAGCGAATAATCCCCCGAAAATCCAGGCATAGGCAGGACGATCAGTGGGAAGTCGGGAAACTTTACAAATCCACCGTTCTCCATCCCAGAAGTTTTTTTCCATTTCACTATACTATGATAACCGAAATCATCAAATGCTTACGGCGATCTTCGCAAGCTAAAATTTCCTTTCGGCTCATTCCAGAGGATCAGAGCTCTAGATTGGATTCACGCTCGACGGGATTCCTCGATTCGACGTTTCCAGTTCGCAAATATCGCATTTGTGCGAATAAACTTGATTACTGGTCGAGTTCACTGAGTCGATGTTCTCTTCTTCTCACTCACTCTCTCTCTCCGTTTGTTTCTCTAAACTTCTATCCCGCTTCTTTAACTCCATCATGAAAGTCGCTGGAGACCTCACTCGAGTGACCCGTGAAATAACTTGGGAGCTTCTCAAATTCCTTCGCGAAACTTCCCTAACGGATTAGGACGCATGACGTCCGGACTCGGTGCGAATGCTAGGGTGAGGGCTCCGTGCCGGCGTACGACACCTAATTCCCTTTGTTTCTGGCCTTCCGCTCCGGGAGGGTAAGGGTTTCGGATTCACAGTCGGCACTCTACGTGAGTTCAGAGCCGGTCGGAAGCGCTCTCGGCAATCGCAGACTTAACCGAAGATCAAAATGTATGCACCTCGGCGGCCGGGTCTCCTTCTAGAGTTTTCCCGCTGTCGTCGGTGTTGACTGTCGTTGACAGTCACTCTGTCGTCTTGCGTCTCCGCCGCCGTTTTCTCCGGATTGGGACGTCGCTCGCTCCATGGAAACGACGAGCGGAGCACCGACAGCCGTATAGACCCAGGCGGAACGGTATTACTGCCTACTTTCCTCGGAGTCCCTGGAGCCCTCAATTTCGCTCAAAGATGCAGCTGTTGCTGCCCCTGCGGGTGTGATGGAAATATTCAACGGACTGCAGGGAATGGCCAACTGCATGTCGATGGAGGCTCTGGGCGGCTCCGAAGGCGTCGAGGGCGTCACTGTGAACAGGGGCACTTGGAGTTGCTCCGTGGTCCCTTGCGAGTGACTCCGCAACCTGGTCGGCTGCGGCACCTCGAGGCATTCTGTTATCGATGCAGACTTGGGGATCTGCGTTTGGGTCTTTGCCGAAGACTTCGTGATCAGTGGGGGCGAACCCGAGCCAGGCGTTGAGGACAAAACCAAAGGTGATGCCAGACCCTTGCCGTCCCCCGCGTGTGGATGCGGTTTGTGGGCTCGGTCGGGAGAGAGAGCCCGCCGCAAAAGGGGAGACGAAGGTTCTGCACTTTTGGGTCTCATGAGCCCTTGCCGTCGGGGGTTCACTGCGTGCACCGGAGGAGGCGGGGTGTGGGGGTTGGGGGGATGTGCCTGCGCGTGCAGTGGTGGTCCGTGAGCCGGGGGCGCGTGAGGGTACGCCAGAGGGGAAGGACTCCTGGTGGGACTGACGTTGCCCGGAGGCAGTGGTGAGGGTGTTCGAGCCAAAGGCGACAGAGGAATATGCCCGACGGATTTGCGTCTCGGCGAGCGGAACGTTTGCGCCAATTTGTGTTTGAGACCGCATAGCGTCGAGGGTCTCTGGGTGAAGTGAGACGATGAGGGGGAGGTGGACGCAGTGACGGCGTTCGCTGCGGGTGAGTTGGGGGCGCTCGAGCCCGGGGAAGACGATGGTGAGGAGTTTCCGGTGGTTGAGTGCGAGGAGTCGGAGGGAGTTTGAGTTTGGTTTTGCTCTTGGAGGCTTTGGAATGATCTTGACAGAGTTAGGTCGCGGTTTCGAGAGTTGATTCTGCGGATCAAGGAAGTGCGCCGCTTTCGATCGTCACTCCTTTGTAAACCTGGAAGGCAAGCGGGAGTCAGAAAAATGCCCCAGCCCACTCTACAGGCCACGGAAGCAGCATACGCAAATATGGATTCTGGATCAGAGCTCGGAATCGAACGGTGATCCCTCGATGTCCGACCACATCCTCAATGCTTCCGGTCGTACGCACCTTGCATTCCATGTCCGGTTTTCGATGACGATGGAGTGGAAACGAGATTTTGCTTCGAATGACGCGGTGGACGTCGAGCTAAACGACTCATGATTGGGTTGCGACGTCTCCCCCCGCTCTTGATCGACGTGGATTCAAGCGGGGTTGTTCTGATCGTAATCCGACTGCCGCCAGCCACTATCAACGTAACGACTTGTGGATGCAACAGTCCCTGGACAGGTTCACCATTGATGTGCGTTATCAGGTCGCCCGGCCTCAATCCCGCATCGAAAGCTGGGCTGTTGTTCTCGACGGCCTGGAGGAAGGAAGACGTTAGGAATCGGAATCAGGCGGGAAAGAGGAGGGAAGCCAGATGGAATTATTTCCGCTCAAGTATCTCTGGAAGGGGCTTCGGAGCTCTGGGGGCGACAATCCACTCATAGCCTCTCTCCACAGCCCAAAATAGAGCGTCAGTCCGAGTCGCTCCTCAAAGCCCTCGGAAGCTCGAAGCCCAGGATTCTCCGCGTTCCCCAGCTGTTTGCTAGTCAGTCAGTCAGTCAGTCCGTCCGTCAGTCCGTCGCCGAGTCGGTCGGTCAGTATGACGCGTTCTCCTCTCGCGTGTCTTCTTCTCGAGCAGGCGAAGCAAACAAGAGAATTCATCTCAGGGATCTTGATTTTGGCGAAGCTCTACTCCGTCAATACTGATATTGGTCGCCTTGACACTTTTTTCGGTTCCCACATCTGACCTTTCACTCCGAGCCAGATGTTGATGATGATTTACAATTTTTTATACGAACCACCCACGCTCCGGGATTTATTCTCGGAAGCCTCTACTCATTGTTTGCTCTGTGTCCCTAATCACTTCTAAACCTGCTCGTCAGCCTTCGAGAAGAAAAGAGCGACTCTCTGCTACCAAGTGCCATCGACCGAAGGTCATAACCTCGGCCTACACGCTTGTCCGCACACGAGACGAGTGTCTCTCACTTCGCCTGCGCGCTTCCCTTGACAAGCGTTCGAATTGATGGTTTGTTTCTCGGCGGCCAAGATGAAGTAATCGAGAGGCTGAGAGGCTTGTAGTGGGCACGACAGCCTGAATCCCTCGCAGAACCCGCTTCCTGACCCCTGTTGACCCCGGTTTCCATTTCGCGCCGCAGAGGGACAAACTGACCGACCGATGAACTAATTAACTGGTCGGCGGACTGACCGACTCACTGACCGTCCGACCGAGGGTCGAGGACCAGAGATCTGAGAGATCATCCGAAGCCTTGCGGAGGTCACTCACCGAGACGAGATGCTGCACATTATAAACATCGGTATCTCCGTAAAATACGCGTATTGCGCGTAGGGTGAATCCAAAGCCACGGGGACTCCTCCGAATGATTATCGGTGGCTTAAGCTGAGCCGCAATGGGGGACAGGTCGGGTGGTGCTCTGGAAGGCGAGGCGTCTCTCGAGCTTGCGCTGCTCCCGCCGGGGGACGAAAGCAACGCAAGAGGAATCGAAAGCGAGAGACCTGAAGCCGACACCGACGAAGACCGGGCCCTCGAGGGGCTCGAAGGGGCGGCAGCAACAGTAGCGGGCGCGGCAGAAGCGGCGGCGGCGGTAGACGGGGCGGCAAGGTCCCGTGGTTGAGGAGATTTCGAGTCGTTTAGCGACAGACTGCTCATATCGTCGTCCATGATATTCAGTCTCGGAAGTCGTCGACGCGGCATCTGAAATCGTACTGGGGGTTAGAACTCCGGAAGAATATACGTCGAGCATTTGGATTTTCTGGGCGCGGGCTCCCGGCACCGATACGCCTTGGGCCTCCGGCCAGCGGGGGCACGCTCTCTGATGGTCAGTCTCTCTCTTTTCCTTCAAACGATGAAATCCAAGAAGCATGGGGAGAGTTCTAGTGTCGCCTGGCGCGCACGTGATCATCGTACGTGACGCCCCGCTATGAACATTAGTGCGTCGTCTTGTATACACGGTGCCAACAAGACGGGCGAACCTCCGAGTGCTCGTGAGCTCTACGGAATATCATTATGTTTGTGTACAGAGGGTCCCGTTTTCCGCGAAGGGCTCGCAAGACTGACCGACCCGGCCAGCAGCCTTCCTGGTTGTCTAACAACGGGTCACTTGCATGAGCCGCTCTGAGTCTCTCTACGTCTACGGAACCGAGCAGCTTAGTGCGTCGTGTATACATTGGCCCTTGAAGCGAAGTTGCCTCACAGAGCCTAGCGAACGATGATTGAAAAGCTTCAGCGAGCGACTTCTCGAAAACAACAATGAGGGTCCGCCTGAGACTTCACTCACCGTGCCCTGGGCGACAATTCACGGAACAATAGCTTCGGCCACGTGGAAAATGAAACGATTTTCGCTTCACGATCAAGCTAGCGAGCTCCGAGTACAGAACGAAATTCAACATGCGGAAATATCGTCGCCCGGAATGAGAACGCTGTCTCGGAGCTAGTTCGCTCCAGCGGGCATAGACTTCTGTCGTTTTTTCCGAAGACTGAGCGCGAGGTCGGAAGAAATTTCGGAGAGTGTTCGCATCGGGTAAAGAATCGGAGCGCTAATCCTCTAACGAGCTCTGGGAAATCGCCAGCGTTTGTAGTCCGGTCGCTCTGATTCGAGCGCTAGCGAAGTCGATCACCAATTCAATTCGAACGACTCGACGTCGTACCGGTCCACGCAGGAGACGAATTCGCAGTAAGCGGATGAGTGAGTCATCCAGTCAGTCACAAACAAGATTTGAAAATCAGAAACGAGCGAAAACTAAGAAAACGCCCGACAAGAGCGCGTGGGCGCGAATCTGGCGGCAGTAAAGCCAACCAAAAACCCACAAACCACCATGACGGTGATGCGATCATCGGCGGCCGCTGCAGTCGTTTCAGGAGGAAGAAAAAGCTCATAGAGCTTCTTGAGCAGAAAGTAAAACGCAACCCGCGATTAAGGTCATTACTATCAGAGCCATATTCGGCACGGCAAATACGGCGGCAGCGGCGGTCCGGACTCGTCGCATCCGTCAAAGTCTATGTGACATAGTCCGAAAGACAATCCGTCCGTCCGTCCGTCGCTTCGCTCGTTCGTTCCTACGCAAGTGAAAAACAGACGGAATTGCGGAACGCGACTCGAGCAACAACAAATCTACGAGGGGCTGATCGGGGCCAAAGTGCTCGGTACCCGACTTCGTCTCATTGATTCGATTCAGTCTGATCGACTCCAATCTGCGTGAATCTACCGACGATCGACGCGTTTCGATGGAATGGCGTGCGAGCGACCAACGCGGCGCGACACCAGACGCGCAACTTGAAATTTCTCCGCTGAATTCTGCTCCCCCGGCCGGAACTTCAATGGGAGAAAAAGGAGCCGGGGTTTGGTGTCGTATTCGTCGAAGGAAATTCGGGACGTTAACGCTCCGACGCATCTTCCCTACGGCAGATTTCCACGCTCACAGGGGAGCCAGGCAAAAGAAACGGAGAGGGAGATCCGAGTTCGAGCGGAATAACTCACTCAGCGGAATCATCTGAACAAATATCAGCTCGGAAGTTTCCCATCCGTCGACGGGATTCAGTGCCGCACGGATAATACGCGGACTCCTGTGGCCCAAAGGATGCGGTTCCCTCATGGCATTCTGAGAATTCCGATCCGGTATCTGCAGTCTACAGAACTTGGTCTGTTTTCCCCACGGCGTTTTGCTCCCCTATTCTCTGAATTATCCGTCAATCCGGTATCCGGTGATTTTGGGCCATCCCTGGAGACCGCCTGCAATTTCCTCATTTGGAGCCAAGAAAACTCACCTGCGGCGATACATCCTCCGATTCGGTGGATTCCGGGGTTGAAGTTTGGATCAGTTCGCTCTTCGGTCGTACTGGAGTTTTCAAACCGGCTCCCGAAGGTGACCCAGATGGCGTGGCGGGCGAGCCAGGTTGCTGTAATTGCGAAAATTTTTAGAGAGCTATCTTCTTCGGGACTAAACGTCGTCTCCATTGTGGAACAGGGGCTCATTCCCTAAATGAATGGAGAGGTGTTCCGCTCTTTGGCGTGGAACGCCCGTTTCTTCAAAGCGTCCCCCTGTTACGATCTGAGGAATACTATTGTTAGCATGTTCCTAGTTCGGAAGCCGTTGGGTGACGCCAGTAACGCCGCGCCGTCGTCGTCGCGGGCTTGACGTGCTTGGAACAGCATGACAGGATTCCCCGTACAGCCTCCTATGACATCGCCCAAAGCCAATTGCTTTGGGCGACTTGTCTTCCTTAATCACTGTCTACGCAGCAGCGAGCGACTCGTCGCTCATTATACTATTGTAATTATCTATCAGAGCCGTATTTAGCAGAGACGGAAGCTTCATCGGGATAAACAAATAATCGTCACTCCTAAGATGAGCACTGCCCGTCTTGCCAATGGCAACTTGCCATCCCAGCTACTGCATTCGTCGAAAATGATGCATTATATATCATTAGAATGGATGGACCAATGAAATCTTTTCCTCACGCTGACTGAGTGAGATTCGGCTCATCTTTGAAGACGAACCCTGACGGGTACGAGTGACTGAGGAGGCGCTCTCGCATCGAGTCATACTGTATCGAGGTAATCACGGCTCGTTATTCGCGGGTTCTACCAGAAGCATTTGACTCGTGGCTGATGAATCGATTTTCTCAGAATTGAGATCGACGACGAAATAGATTCCAGGCTCCTGGTTGGGCCCTCGATATCTCCCCAAGGTAGGAGATGAATTCGGTAAGCATTGAAATTCTCATGGATTCGACGGGAGCTCGCAGGAATTCGCGACTCCTCGGGAATTCCGACCAGTTCTAGCATTCTCAGGAGAAAATTATTGAACGCCGTGGAGCGGCGGAATTTTTCAGATATTCTCGAGATATCGACACGTAATGTCTCTGCTGCGAGGGTACCACTACCTAGGAGAAAAATCTTTCGAGTTCCACTGACCTTCAATAGGGCCTGTTCCTGTTCGAGTTCCCGTTCGATGCGCGAGTATACCTTTCGGTACCGTGGCGAGCAGCACGAGAACGACGAAAATGCGTTAGAGCCCCACTGTTCACCAGAATCGCCACCGTCGGTGTCCTCCGAATCCTGGTGGTTGTACCGATCTATGCGTGTGTCAAAGTACGACGTATCCTCTTCGTTTTCGAGATGCGGAATGAATTCAGCTTTCCGCCGGAGTAGCGAATCCCAATCCATGTTCTTGAAAAACGGATGCTCCTTGAGTTCGGCGGCTCCTGCCACCGTCCCCAGGCGTTCGAGAGGATTCTGCATGAGCAGTCCACCGGTCAAGTCTTTGACGTCGTCGGGCAATGGCCAATCGTCGTCGGTTGGCCATTCGAGTTCGTCGTTGACGACGTGCGCGAAAAGTTCTTCGGGCGTGTCGCCGAAAAACGGCACACAGCCGACCACAAATTCATAGAGAATAATCCCCATAGACCACCAGTCTACGGGTTTTCCGTAACCCTGACGTAGAATCACTTCCGGTGCGATGTATTCGGGAGTCCCGAACACTTGCTTGTCGGTGAATTGTTTGGTCTCTCTATCGATGGCGCCCTCGTAGAGATTGGTGGCCAAATTCATGAGGCCCACTTTCGAAAGGCCGAAATCCGTGAGTTTGATGTGGCCCAAATGGGTGATAAGAAGGTTGTCGGGTTTTAGATCACGGTGCACGATTCCGTAAGAGTGCAGATATTCGACGGCTAGAATTGTTTCGGCGAAGTAGAACTGCGCGATGTCAAGTAGTAAGGGTCCCATGTTTTTCAGCAGCGTGGCACAGTCGCCTCCTTCGACGTACTCCATCACGAGACAGAGGTGCTTCTTGGTTTCGAACGAACAGAACATCGAAACAACGAATGGATTATCCGTGAACGACATGATGTCTCTCTCGGCGAACACCTGCTCCACCTGGTTGCGTAGAAGCAGATTGTGCTTGTTGATTCGTTTCATGGCGAAGCGTTGGCGCGTGGCCCGATGTCGGACCAAGTACACGGCACCGTAGGCCCCGTTCGAGATTAGCTTGATTGTTTCGAAATCCTCCTCGCACGGTGGGGTTTTGACATCTTTCGGCGGCGGCGAGGGCGGCTGGGGATCCTCATCGATGATCAGAGGTTCGGTGAGATCGCTCAGCGGGTCCTTGTTGAGCCCGAGCTTGGTGATGATGTACTGCGGAATATGGTTCCGGATGCCCTGCAGATCCTTGGCCTGACCTTCGGCGGCCTCGAGCAGTTGGTAGAATTCCTGAGGATCGAATTCTAAGCATTCGAGTAGACGCGCGGGCCGGGAGACGGCAAGCAGCAGTCTGCGCACTAGAGGCCGAAGGTAGGCTGCAGCACTTGGACTCTTCTCCTGGCAATCCTGCACGAGCTTCTCGAGCGATTCGCTCATTTCGTAGAAGTACTCGGACGTGATGAGTTTGCCTCGGCTTTTGTCGAGACAGTCCTTGGCCAATTCGATGATTTGGTGGTGGGCGAATCGGGCGACGGCATCGTTGACGTACTCGGGGTGCAGTTCGAGGTTCTCGCAGAGGAGCTGCGCCAACTGCTCCTCCATGGCGACGGTCGCCTTGGGGTAGCGTTCCTTGTAGACGCTGTTGGTCATGATGACTTCGTTTTCGTGGCTGTGGGGAGATCTAAGGGGACTGAGAGAACGCGACCGGGGTCGGAGCGCTCCGGGGGAATCGTGCTCGATGAGATGCAGCTTTTCCTGGGACGAGCATTGAGACGACACGGTGGAACTGCCTGGTGTGTTGGTACCATAGCCCGAAGAAGGAAGAGAGGCCACAGACCATCGGCGAACATCGCTAGCCCGATTCGAATTGGAGCGTAGTTGTTGAGCGAACGAAAAAGAACAGGGACTCATGTTTCTCGGGGAGTCTAAAGGTGAGGCTCCCATTGGGAGGGGAGAATGACAACGCGGTAAGGTGGGCGATGTCTGACAGAGGATCAAGGATTTCCGGGCTCCTGAAACGCGACTGCCGCGTCTGCTTGTCACATTCAACTCCTTCTGCAAGTAGAGCAAACCAAAAACCACATTAGAACAGTCTGTTGAGCGCGAATGCCAGAAGAAAGCGTCCGCTCGTCAGCGTCCCCTCTATTCTTACGCTTGGACTTTCGCTCGCTCGGCTTCGAACAATCTTTCGACCCAGTGGAGAAATTGTTTAACCTATCCGAAGACCATCCGAGAAGAGACGGGAAAGCTCACACGCAAGCGATGGATGGACAGATTGAAAGACAGTTCGCAAACGCCCGATACATGTTCGGCCCCGCCCTTGGTTTTGAGCGACGCCTCCTGCGCCTCCATCGGAATCCGAACGTTTCTTGACTCGACTGACTCTCCGACGAATCATCGTCCCGAATGACCGATCGCAGGATCGCCTGGATGATTGACTGAATAAAACCGGCCAACCGATGGACGGACTCGCAAGATAATCTACTTGAGTGGACAATCGAGCGAGACGTCGCCATCAGACGCGAGGGATGAATAATAATCCGTAATTGTCTCTGGCGGCGAACTTTCAAGTATAGGGGTGGCGGACGAGAGTTAGATCTCGAACCGAGCGTGACCCCCGACGTGAGTCATCTATCCCGATGCCCATATCGAGTGATAAACCTAATAATCTATTAGGTACGTAGGTCTATCAGGTGGAACCGGTAGATTATCGCCCATCATTTGACCATCATCAGGCGGGTCCATCCACCCGGAGGAATGTACCGACAAAGAAAAGAACAGAATCACAGACAAGTCAGAAATCGGAAGACCCCAGCGTCTCGAGGACGGCGACCATCGACGTCATCCGAAAGGCGATCTGCTTGTCTGGCATCTTCCCGTTCTGATGTTTCTAGTCTTGAGTTTCGCGAGGTCGATTGAGGGTTCTCCCGAGGGAGATCGTACGGCGAGGTCTCCGGAGGAAATTCGGATAAATTATCACCGGTGAGGAGAGGCGAACGAGGCGGTCGGTTGTTTACTGCGCGCTTCCGAGTCGAACGATGCGGGGCGATTCTAATTTGAGACGCTGCACGGTAAGTCCACGGGTGGACTTCGCAGTGAGTGGGTCCGCGTCTCTTACCGGGTATCAAATTCAAATCGTAAAATCAATAGAATCCCAGCAAGGCTCGACGATCCACGACCAAACGGTCTCTGCGATCGAAACCGTCCGAAAGATTGAGGAGTCTCAGAAATTTATTGCCGCTTCCATTCCGAGTCTTTCTAGGATCTGTTTATCTTCAAATGCGGATGGGATACGGCTTCTCAGGCACATATTCTGCACTCGGCTCGTGGAGGGACCGTCTCATCTCGAACTTCGCTTCTTGCATGCTGTAAGCGGCTATGAGTGCGCTCACTCGTTCGCAATGGATCGAATAATTCCGCAGAATACGGAAATTCTACCAGTCAAGCCAACGGTTGATCGATAGCCGACTCAGAGACCATCGATTTACGGGCTTCGAATGAATTTCCGGATCTATCTATGCAGGAAAATTCTGTTCCGGTGACACTCATTTGTCCGCACAGTCATCAGTCAGCGAGTGAGTCAGTCATTCAGTCCAAGGGACACAAACGATCATACGGACGGAGCGGAGAATTTTCGTTGACAATCGAATCGTGGGCGATGATGTTTGGATTGCCGTCCCGCCAAACGCCTCAGAAGACCTTGGTCGCACGCAGACGCCGCAATCGCCGCCGTCAAATCATTAATCTGTTCATCAATTGTTTATCCATTCTTGCCGAGCTCTCCTCTACTTATCTATTCGTCTATCGGCAGCTGACCGTTGGTCGGTTGGTTGGGCGGTCCATTCTTCCAGGAAACCGTCCATTTGCCAGAGACGTCAACGGACCATTGTTTCTGTGTTGGACTTTTCTTCCCCTGACCTCAAGCAGGGATCTCTCGCCTACGATAGAATGACTATCGGCGGGGACAATAACTCGATATCGCTGATCGGTGTATGTTCGAAATTTTCGCGAGAACGATTCCAAAGTTACAAAGAGGAGCTCCTGCAGCCCCCGGATGGAGAAAGTCGAGAATCTCATCTCGGACTCGGGAAAACGAAAGTTCTGCTGCCTCGCAAGAAATCGGAAACTTCCTCTTTCGGGGTTTCGCCATATGGTCTCGCTCAGCCGAGAGCGACTTGTGATTACGTCATTAATCGCTATTCAGAGATCACTCCCAGCGGCAAAACATCCCGAGTGGTGAACGCGTTTGAAGAATCAACCGCCCAGCTGCCACGGCTTTCTGTAGCCGAAGCCAGTCGATCATCTGGCTGATTGTGTCTGTGATCGGCGGCGCGTCTCAGCTCCGACGCCGCACATTGAGCGGAGGGTCGGGCTACTACCAGAGAAAAACTTGCTCCGACCGCTCAGCATCTTTCTTCCATTAAGAGCTCTCGTGGCCGTTTCGGGACCCATACGAGAGATAGCGAATCTTTGCGATCCGGTACTGCCTTCTCGAGTGGAGCTCCACAAAACTGCCTGAGTGTCGGGAACCTTTTTTCCGTTCGGCTGGCGACCATATTGAGAACAGACTCGAGGACGCGAGCTCTAACGGCTCGTCCAGGTCTGCCTCGGAGCTCACTCAGAGTGAATTACGGGGAGAATCGTGGAATCGAAAAATGACGGAACTAATTCACCGAGCTGCTGTTCCGGTCGGATCGATTGCCATGGCCGTCGACGGTCTCCAAAGGTTCCTCACGACAAAGCTCTCGGGACATTTCTCGAAAGGAATGACGAGACGTGCCCCGGTCCCCAGGAAGCAACGAGATCGCGGTCCGCAGCGGGCCTGCATCCTTTGTCAAGAAAAATGCAAAGTGAAACTGCGCAAACAGAGCTCTGCAGAGCCGTCACTCTGGGATGCACATTCTTTTCTCGGCACGCTCTGGGATCGCGGAGAAGATTCTCGCTCGATACACTCACGTAGAACTGACAGATTGCTTGGCGAGCCGGCCGGCGTTTCGGTGAATTGCTTGACACTCGGAGCATATTTGGAACGCCTATCTGTCCTGAAGTACTCCGAAATCGAGAGCTCCATCTCTGGCGCCCCAAGTTCGCAGTCACAGCAAGTCTACCGAAATCCCGACTCAATCAGGAAGATATATCCCAACGATATCTCCGCAAGTGGGCAGCTGACGTTTGTCTAGCAAACATAGAAACGTTCCATCTGATCGGATACAGTCAGCGCGCTCCAACTGCTCAACCCCAAGAATTCACGTGAATGATCGACCTCACACGAGAGAGGTGTCCCCGAGAGAAACGGAGTTCCGGATTCTGAAGCAGGACGTGCACTTTTCGCCATGGCTCCAAGGAATGCCAACATGTTCCTCTGCTTGAATCATGATGGCGGGGTGGTAGAGTTTTAACCACAACGGAGCGGGGCAAGGTGGAGGAGAAGACGGCAAGAGTTTCTACCGCCACTGTTTGGGGTTTATTCCTTCTAGAGAAGTTGGAGAATCGACATCTGGCTTTATTCGAAAACCGGGAGTTGATTCTGAACGAGTTTCGAAGCTCGATCGCCCACCGTGGCTCAAGATTCAACGCAGCCCTTCGGGAAACTTGGTCAGAAGGCCACCTCTGGATATTTTTAAAAACCTCGCAAAATCGAAAAACCGCGAGACTGAAAGCACCTACGAGAAATTCCGTCTATTCGGAATCGATCCCGACGATCCGACAGTCACTCGATTGATCCCAGTCCCATGCTTTCATCCTCGACTCATTTCGAACTTCACCATGGAGAGGGAAAGCATTCCCGAATCGAAAAGAGAGATTGACTTGATAAATACCTTGAGTTGGACCACGTTGGACAGATTGAGACTGAGCGTGAGGCTTCTCTTCCTAATTCCAGACTCGGAGGCACTTCGCGCGATCGGTGAAGCCGCAGACTCGGTCGGCCTCTGAAGTTGATCAGGGCCAGAACTCGAACCCGCAGCCCCCCCAAGATGAACAGACGGTCGTGTGTTGTTGTCACTCATATTTGTTGTTGACTTGCTGCGATTGTTAGGATTGTTTATGATGTAGCTGCTGATTCCGACGCTGTCGATTTTGTTGTTGAGATTTAGACCGATGGTTAGTTAGTGCTTGCGACTTCGTCGAGGGACTTCTCCCATTAACAGCGGCGGCGGCGGCAGCAGCAGTAGGAGCCATCGTAGCTTTCAGGCGAGGCCACGGAACATTTCCAGCAGTAGCAGCAATCTTGTAGATCGAGGCGGTGACCGCACCAGCGGCAGCATCGTTCTCGAGCAGCGGCCGTACGTTGTACACCACCACAACCGCTACGAGAGTCGACGAGACGACGACACAGAGCTGCGACTCCTCCACCACCAGTAGTCGTCAGCAGCGGAGCCACTGGCAGGCAGCAGCAGCAGCAGCACCTTCACCACCGAGGCCGTCTGCTTATTACTTTCTTCTCGCCGCTACCACGGCAGACGACGCCGAAGAATATCGAATCGCGCCGTTGCTGCTGGTTTCAGCAACGCCCTTCTGCAAACAGAAGGATTGCGATCGAAATCGGTCAGGGAGTTTCCATTTTTTGTCTGGCCGACAAGACGTTCCCGAGCGTGGATTGATTCCGATAGGGGAGAAATCAATTTCTCCGAGCGGCTTCCTCCGCGCGAAATGTTCACGAAGACCCTCCGTTGAGTTCTTCGGAGGGGTCCGCGCTCGCGGAGCTTGCTTCCCTCGACGTGGAGGGGACGGATCCGTTCTTTCCCTGATTGCTCCGAGGAAGGATTCCCCGCGTGAACGTCACGTCTGCGGATTGATTTTTGACGTTTCGGTCTCGGGATTGATCTCCCAAGGATGGTTCGCGCGAGCCATCGCCATTAATATTCTTTCTCAATTCCCTCTCCCCGGAAGGCAGAGAGGATTATTTTTCGAAGTTCTGCTACGTCAATAAACAGAGGAACTCCGTTTGATTTGCTTTCGCCTTCATTCCCTTTCCCCGGCTGTGTGTACTCTCCGCTACCATCTGTCGCTCTGGTCATCGCTTTGAAGGACTTGGCGGCGCCAAAATGGGAAAAATAATATATAGAGAATGGGGGACAGAGCTGGCTGACCAAGACGCGTCAAGGATGGATTCGAAGGATGGGTTCGGCGACAAGGTCGCAGCTTTTGCCGGGGAGATTCGAGACAGATCACTGTCGAGAGGACAATGGGATACGTCTCGGCTAAAGTTTGCCAGATTAAGGTTTAAGTAGCGAGATCTTTGTCAGTTGAGCCCCGCAGGATTTCATTGACTGAGACACAATGCTATTTGTCCAGGATATCCTCATCTGCCTATCCTGACCTACATCTAATCGCGATCTTGTAATTCGTCGGCAGCAGGATCTCGCAATGGAGCGTGAGTCAGCTCGCATGGATGGAAGGCCCGTGGGAGTAGGCAGAGTTTCAGATTTACGCGTGAGGAGAATGACTAAAAGAGCGGCGCTTCGACATGAATCTCCGAACCGACCGATCGTGAATTCTCCGACGACTCTGCCGGTGAGCTGCTCGCTATTCGTTGGGGAGTAAAGCGACAGGAATGAAGGTACTCGACAGAACATCCGCGGTGGTAGAGATAAGATGCCAGCGACCCGACGAGCGAGACTCCGATTGCACCTGATCGTCTGCGGCTCAAATTCTAGAAATTAGCGGGACTTTGGAACCGCGCTATCTCTTATTCAGTTCGGAAAAATTGTGACTGGCACGAACTTTGTCCGTAGCCCGCTAAACTTTGGTCCGCAAGCAAATGATGGTTCGCCGGTCCTCGTGCGACTGAGAGTATTCCTGCGGAGTGAGATCTCAATGTTGGGCATGCCTTGTGGACCTTATCGGGTAGCCCTCTGATTGTGAATGGCTTCGCGGTCTCGCCATCCATGCGGCTCTCCGTGCCGAGCATTCAGGGTCGGGAGCTCTAGATCTAGATCAATCAGGGAACACCAGATCGACTTGAGACTGATTCGAGAGACGATTTCTCCACTCGATTCTCACGGAGATCCCCGCAGGAGACCCCGCAGGCCTTTCGCGAGGTCGAGCGTCGGCGTCAGGCCGTACCCTTCAATCCGCGAGAGTGTTCTTCGTCGCGTGGAGCTTACTCCATGATTCCCTGTCTGTCAGTGGGGTGATAAATCTCATACAGGAGTCAGAATCAGCGGCTTTCGTGGGGGTCTCTAGCAGGGGGGGGGGGGGAACTCCCAAGGGGGAGCCTTAGACCGCGCTGCAAAAGAAACTCGCATGCCCCAGTATCGATCACTAGATTCCAATCGCTACCCGTGTGCCGTAAGGTAGTCCGAGGCACGACAGACGACCGGAGACGGTAAATTACGACTTGATGGTCCTGCACGAAAGAATCACGCACATAGATGTTTTGTACGGTTTTCCCGTCGTCGGTGTGAACGACTAAGGTCCAAAACAGATTCGGAGACCCGCTGGAATGCAGCGGCTAAACCGGGCCGCAATGCTGCGCAGAACACCTTTAGAAGCCTCCGAATAAAAGACCTCTAAATACCGAAACTTTATGACCGATCTTCACTGGCTCTTCCGAGACTCGTGCTGGTGGCCGCTATCGCGCGAAGGTATTACAGAGATACCATCGGCAGTCCGGCCATTATCCTCCAGTGAGCCCTGCGTCCGTCTGTCGAATCGAGAAACAAGCCACGAAAGACAACAAACAGCTGCGCGGCTATTGCAAGGCCCAATAATAGAGGGAAACAGAGAGACCGCCACTCGCCTTGGAAATTGTTTTGACCGCAGCGGCGGCCAGACCACAGTTCACCTCGAGATCACGTATCCGAGTCTGGGCAACAAGCCGAATCACATCGCTCCAGGCGGCGACAAGAATACGTTCCCCTTCCGACAGGCAGGGCCCCGCTGGAGAGCGACCTTCGAATCTCCCTCGATGACCCTGAAGCTTCATCGCCCGCTCCATGGGAATTCCACAATTTCCCGCCATATTCGCCGCCCGAGGAAACGGCAATTCGGTCCCAATTGGAGGTTGAGTACAATGGCGTTCAGAAAGTCTATAAGGACGAAATTAACGCTCCGGATATCGAATTAGTCGACGGACAACGCCACAACGTGTAGCTGTTCACACGAATTGGGAACGGTCATTGAACAAAAAGCCGAACTATCCGCCGCTGAGCGGCTAATGCGCCTGACAGTCCGCGCTGGAATCGATTTTCCCAATCGTTGTGTTTCAAACGAGCTTCATCTATGGGGCAATCTGTCCGATTATTGTAATATTGAAATCGTTAGTGGTAAGTGGTCGTTGGGATGGTTCTTAGAAATCGTCAGCTGACGCGAATCCGCTCCGTCATTGCGCGGATAGAGAAGCCTATCCACTACGAGAAACCCATGATTTCGGTTTAGACAATCACAGGGCTTCGAGAGCTTCCTGTCTGTCGGATGCTCGAGGAATCGCTCCGATCAGTGGTTCCTCCCAACGAGCTTCCGTCGGGAATCGTTCCGAAATTCGGAAAGGATGGCGCATGATATAGCTGAAAACAAAAAAATCCCCCTCCGATCCCCTGGGGCTCTTGTGGGGTTCCTATAGGGTTCTCGACGGGAACGGCCGACCGCCAAATCGTCGCTGCGACTCCCTGCATCATACGGCGTCGATGTGGTTGACGCGATGTGCAAACGCGATAAACGCCCGGCAAGCGGGTGCTGAGCGGAAACTCATGGAGAATATGGGTGTGGAATGAAGACATCACGGAGGGAGGGTACTTTTCGCGGGAATCATGGTCCGCTCTCGGGAACTCACCCGTATCTTCTCTCGTCGCTTGAAGAACTTCATCCCGACTCACTCTCTCTCTTTCTTACCCGTATCAAAAGGATAAGCAAAACGAAGAACACAACACCAGCTGGAAAACTCTCAAACAAACAAGAGCTGTTCCTATTTGTTCACCGCGGAATCGCTATCTGAGCCATGCGCTAATTTCGTCTGTTTGCCGCAAGCTAACACTCCTGTGTCTACGTGCTCCATCCAAACGCAACGAAATGTTTTCCATCTTCCTCTTTCTTCCCATCTCGCGCTCAGATGTTCGTTCGCCGGGCTGCCGGCGCTCTCGATAATAATCGAGCGGAGTGCAACTCTTTATGAGCAGCGATAGCGCATTCGAAATCGTTTGCGAGGGAGTATAGTTTATCGGCGTCTCTGGCCTTCGACCTCCGACGTCGACGATTCAGCCGATGTGTGCCAAGGGCCAGACTATGACATACTTGCCTGCCGTTGTAGTGGACTCGAGCTTCGACGTTTCTTGGCATACCAAAGTTGCGTGTGGGATTCTCGATCCGCAGCTTGTGTCTTAAAATAAGATTTTCTTCCATTATCTCGGAACAAATAAAATGAGTTTGATGCTCTTCGCATGGAAAAGGGCTTCTGCGACTGATGAGTCGCTGCAATCGTTTCCCGTCGGCGTCATGGTGCTTCTTGAGGTCGCGCGATTGGAACCCGTACCGAGCGTTCAAGTAGATGCTGAGACTGTTTTCGATGTTTTCGAGTGGTAGAAGGTGATTAAAGTTACGCCGAGTCTGACACGCACGCGCCGTGAATCGAGCAAACAGTAATTCCTCTCGACGCTCTCGAGGTCGTCCAGGTGATCGTTCGGTTGGTCTAGTTCCGGATTGAGGGAGAAAACGGCTTTTCAAACTTCGCCTTCCGACCTGCTCGTCGTTTCAGGATTCATACGGGTGGGAGGTCGGAGCGAGTAAAATGCTTTGTCCCTTTTCCAATTGTTTGTCCCTCTGTTCTCATAGCGAGCTGAGAGCCGGATGAGTCAAGCGTCACGTCATGATAATGCCCCCGCCCCGGATTGGTTTTCCGAGCTGTTCTCTTAGGAATGGAGGAAAGGAGAAAGAATTAAGAGAAGAACTCTCCCTGCCTGTGGAAGGTCCTCATATTTTCTTGCGATGAAACAGATTCGCCCTCCTCCCCCGATTAGCTGTCACTATAAGCTCGAATCTCGTGAAGCGCACTTGAAATCTATCGAAGCCTATCGCGCCCTGCTTTTTCGCCGGTAGCGAGTGTGCTAAGGGAAGTCGGATCTTCGAAATCAGAACTGAACTTACATCCCGAAAATCGGAAGCCGGGAGGGGGGGGTCATATGGGCGACTTCTTCAAGGAGGTGCTTTTTGAAGAGTGAAGCATTCGTTTTCGAGATTCCTTGGCAGGCTGGAGTCAAGGGACGATCTGCCCTGGGCACCACCCATCGGGTGAAACCGATTACGGTCACTTTCACCGGGAGAAACGATTTCCCCGGGATGGGCGCCCCAGGCTCGAGGCTGTTCGAGGAGCAATGTTGTGGACTTGCTTCGGAACGTCGCGTGTCGCGTGGCGCGGAATCCTCTTGGATGTTGCATGGCGGGTGCAATGCATCGCCAGGAGGTGCTTCAAAAGGGAGTCCCGAGATCGGACCTGGTTGTCATTTTCCTGCGTTAGGTTCCCAAAATGGGGTCGACCGACTGGGAATCCGAAAACCCGGGACACCGGCCCCTCACGATGTGAGCCACACGGGCGGGCGGTAAATGTGAAGAAGAGGGGCTCCGGAGTTGACTTCCATTCGAGCTCCAATGGATACGAAGCGCTTGGTAGCTCGCTGGGGGTCATGAAAACTCTTTCCGAAGATTCCATTTCGCCGGACATGTGGAATCATGCGTGAGACGATGCTCCGAAAGATGGCGGAATGAGCTGCGGTCCGGCGAGTACGACTCCCAGCAGAGTCGGGTAGAGACCTGCTGAGAATGAACTTGAGAATCTCTGCTCCGGGAAAAAATAAGGACACCTCCCTCCGAGCGTGAAACTCGCGGAAACAGTGACAGATGTCGCTTAGTCGGGGAAACGCGGCGACAACCGAAGATAGGAGCGCTCCGGCGGGGATTCACAGCGCAAAAAACATTCTCATAGTCTGAAAGCTGATGCTTTATTAGCTAATAAATAAGTCGTCTTCGAATAGAGGTCTAGAAGCCTTTTTCGAGTTGGCGATGTCCTTTCGAGATTTACGCGTAACCTAGTCAAGTCCATTTGCAGCATTCCGTATGGTCGTCGACGACTCTTCTAGCCGCCTTCAGCAGAAGAAACGAACTTCGTCCATTCAGACTGTACTAAACACTTACACAGTGAACACAGACACGTCGGTCAGAGTAGAGCAAAGTCGTCACAGCTCCGAATACTTCACGGTGCAGTGAAGGAGGTATACAGAGAACGCGAAAGGGCAATAGGCACTAGGCAGCTGGAAAAGCGACCGAAGCTGCTGCATGAGCAGCAGGACAAACTCCTCCCGGTTTTCAACATGAACATCACACTGAACACGAACATCACTCCGAACCGTATCTACACCGAATCGGACAGCTTTTCTCAGACAGATCACACAAACGAGAAGTGTAGCACGCACGCACACACGCGAAAAATATCGTGTTCAGAGTTCTGATTCATTAATCGACATAGTTAATCTTTCATCGTGGGTCATATCGGCGTTTCGTCAATCAACTCACACGTTTGCGAGAGAGAGAGAGAGAGA